ACTTGATGTCACCTAATCCCCAACATACTACTGCACTGTTTCTTCCCCGCGACCGTTGGGAACAGCCGCGACCGAAGCGAATCATGGTCAAGTGAAGAACCAATTTTGACTGCAGCAGCCTGAACAGACACTGGACACAACATCCCCTCCAATGTGTATCCGCCACCAGGGCGCTGGGCACGGAGCGGGCGTGTCCTCAGGTCCTCTGTCTAATCCTCTAAGCCTCGCTCCTGGGGGTCTTTCAGGGGTCCGTAGCCCCAATTGCCAAACCTCCCAGGGCTTGGCGCGGCTCCCCTGAGCTCAGGCGCGTCTTGTCGAATTATGTGTTCGGGTCCAAGAGGGCCCCAAGACGGGCCAAGAGGGCTCCAAGAGGCTCCCAAGATGGTCCAAGAGAGCTTCGAGACGCCTAGAGATCGCTCCAGTCGCCCGAAATGCGGTCCAAGAGGCGTCCTGGAAGACCCAAGAGGCGTCAACAAATCTCCCGAAGAGAGCCCCCCAAAGCCGAAAATATTGAGTTCCCTTTGGTCTTTGAAGGTTATTAGTCTTCTCACCTTTTCGGATTTCCGACGCTCGAAGACACCCTAAAGGCCCCCAATATCGCTCCAAGACGGCCCCAAAAAGTTGCAAAGACGGCCGCAAGACGGCCCCCAGACGGCCGAAGAGGCGCCAAATACGGCCCAGGAGAGCCCCAAGACGGTCCCAAGAGAGGTTCAGCAAGGGGACCACGAACCGAAATTTCAAGCTTTCCGCCCCGAGAGGGCACCAGGAGGCACCAAGGGGGCCCCAAGAGGCCCGAAGAGGCCCTCAAGAGGCCCCCAAGAGGCCCTAAAACGCTCCCCCAAAGTCCCAAGAGGCCCCAAGAGGCTCAACGGGGCCCCAGAACGACTCCCAGATGCGTCATCCCCCAGGAGGCCTCGCACGAGACCCCAACGAACGTCAACGACGCCTCCGACCCCCAGCCCAGGCACGGTGGCGGGATGGGCCGATTACCATTAGATTTGTGTAGGTGTGTGTATATATATAGATATCTATAGATGTGTGTGTGTGTGTTTGTACATATCGATGTGTACAGCTGCACCGATATATGTGTATATATGTGTGAACAAATATAAAGATAGAGAAAAAAGGGAAAGAGAAAGAGGGAGAGCCAGGATGACAGAGACAGAAAGAGAGAGAGGGAGAGGGAGGCGCAGAGAGAGACAGAAAGAGAGAGAGAGAGAGAGAGAAAGAGAGTGGGTGAGGACAAGGATGAAGGGGGAGGAGAAGGGGGGAAAGTGGAGGAGAGGGCTTTGCTGGGCGATCCAGAATTGACCCAGCCGGGGAGAGGACCCAGGCGAGGATACTTGACGAGGAATGAGGCGGACGGACGAGAATGAAGGGGAGGTGCGAGGGTTGAGGGGGAGGTAGATGAAGACGAAAAGGTGAGGAAGATGGGGGAGGAGGACCACGACGGCGAGGACGACCCCGAGGACGAACAAGACGAGGAGGACAACGAGAGGAGGTGGCGGACTGGCTGACCGGCGGCGTGGAGCCTCCTCCGAGCAAGCTGCCAAGCATACCTCCACCCATCAGGACCTGCGAGGGCAGGGAAAAAAGGACGAGCCGGGGTGGAGGAACGAGGGGAGAGCACAGGCGAAGGTCGAGGCAGAGAGCAGGAGAGATGGAAAAAACACAGACATCAAGCCCTAGCCTGGTCCCGCGCCCGCCCGCAAAGGAGCACGAGGTCAAGCAATAGACAAAAAGGCCACCGACGAGGTCGGCATAGCCAGAAGGATCGAGAGGAGAATCAGGAGGAGCTCTCCTCTCCTACTCTCCTCATCTCCAGATCCCCCGTATTCAACCACTCCAGATGAGCACAAATGCGCGAGCGGAGCGCCGCTCCTCCCACAAACCCGTGTATAGCGAGCACGGTCTTATCATGTGGTGTTGTATGCACGCTTTGCGAATCGGAGAGTTTGTGTGTTTTGAAACGATGCTCTCGCTGCAGCGTTAGCCTCATTCCATGATCGGCGCGTTGCTCCCATCGTTGAGAATAAGGCTCTCGACCCAACGCGGGGCCATAATTCTGGAGCCGATTCCTTTCACGTCGTTCTCTTTCTCTCCTCTCCCTTCCTTCGCCTTCCGCTGGTCCTGGTGTTCCTCCCGATCCTGTTGCTCCTGCTCCTGTTCCTCCTGACCCTCATTCCTCATCCTACTCATCTCCTCATTATCATTCTCACCTCCCCAGTCTATGTACAAATCTCCCCTCTCTGATTTAACATCGCACGATAGGGACGTTTCGGGAATTCAGGACGGCTGAGCGACCCATCGTAAGATATAAACGGCAACAACAGCTGGCAAGAGGATGGGTGGGAGGGGTAGGGTGTCAGATATGGCGCGCGTACATAGCTTGCCTCCTCCCATCTCTCCTCTACTCCTTCTTTGGTATCCCATATTCTCCTAGCTTACCCTCTCCCTCGGCTCCTCTAGTCTTTGCGCATTTCCCGTCTCACTCCCTCCTTTCTGATGGCATGCCCTCCCCTCCAAACCTTCCTTCCCCCGTATCGCTCCTCCCCCTCCTCCGAAAAGTCCTCATCCCTCCCCGACCCACAATGTTCCTAGAACCTTATGTCCTTCCCTCACCGCTCCCATTCCATACTCTGTCTCTCCCATACATTATTTCCCTCCCCAGCTCGAGACAGAAACACCGAAGGACGTATATGTAGATTCAAAGGCCAAATTGTGTTATGTGAGATACTGTCCCTCATGCCGTTCGGGAACAACTATACCACATAACGCATGGACACTCTTCAACCACCGCGCGTGTACCGCAAGACCCCAATATGAACATATACGACATGCAATATGGCCGGTTACTGCACCAGCGGTGCTTGTGAAACAAGTATGCCACAGAGACTGTGAGACGGCACATGCACCACATGACGTCCTGCGGAATACCTAGTCCAGCACGTTGGAAGGCACATTCGCAGCAGGACGTCGGGAGAGAAATATGCCACAAGCCGTCTGGATACACGGTTCTAAAACATGGCCTGTGGGATGGATGCCATGCCACATAACATCCCGCTATGGATGCCCCACACGCCGCCTGGAAACCCATCTACGACGATACGCACTGTGCGGGCACGAAACTACGAAATGTTTGGAGAAACATCCGAACCGAACAACACCACATGACGGACATCGTGGAAGACAACGGGAGACAACTAAACCACAAGTCGTCTGGACCCACAACTTCCAGACTACGGCCTGTGGAGTGTCAACACACGACATGCCGCAAACGATGAACAAGAACTCTGGGTACCATTAGATCCACGAGTCCAACCGAACCGCAGAACTTTCGGAGGCGAATTAACCACAGGACGTAATTATGATGACTAATATGTGTATACGTTTATATAGTCTTGGCCACGGAAGTCGCAGTGCAAGGACTCGACGAGGAGCGCAACGGCGAGCGTGAACACCTGACCTGACCCAACCAAACCTGTCCACAAAGCTTGTCTGGGAGAACCACGTGGAAAACTGCTACGGAACTCCGATACCAGGCGTCGTCGTCGTCGTTGTGGTCGTCGCCGTCGTCGTTCTTCTTCATCTTCGTCGTCGAACGTCAATCGTCGTCGCCGTCGTCGTCGTCTTTCGACCGTGTCGTCGGCGTCGTCTCTCGTCCTCGCCGTCGTCCATCGTTGTCGTTGTTCCCGTGCGAGGCGCGTCTTGGAGGGCTCTTCGGGGCTTCTCGGGGTCTCTTGGGAGCTCTTGATGGCATTTTGGTGCGGAAGAAACGGACTGTCCGTTTGGCCTGCCCCTTTTGGAACCGTCTTCGGCGTCTCCTCGGCCTTCTTGGGCGCCTTCAGGGCCGTCTTGAAGCCCTCTTGGGCCGCCTGGGGCCTCTCTTGCGGGATCTCGTGGGCCGTTTGACGGCTGTCTCGGGGGGCATCTTCAGCCGTCTCGGAAGGAGACAAATTGTGCATGTTGGAACTGCACGTTTTCCATCGGGATTTGACGATGTTCCTCTCCCGTAGCCCTCCCTTAGCGGCCGTCTAGCGTGCGAGGCGCGTCGTGGGGAGCTTTTGGGGGCCTCTCGGGGGCCTCTTGGGAGCCTGTTGCGAGTTCTTGAGGGCATCTTGGGGCGGAAGGTTCGACTTGTTCGTTTGGCCTCCCCCTCTTGGAGCCGTCTTGGGGCTCTCCTTGATCGTTCTGGACGCCTCCTGGCCCGTCTTGGAGACCTCTTGGTCCACCCGGCGGATCTTTAGCAGGTCTTTTGCCGCCGTGTGGAGGCAGACTTGCAAGTCTCTTGGGCCGTCTTGGAGCATCGGAAAACAGAAACCTCACATGTACTGAACGTGTGCAATTTTACTATTGGAATTAAACGACTTTCCCCTCCCCGAACCCTCCCCAAGCAGCCGTCTAGCGTGCGAGGCGCGGCTTGGGACGCTTTTGGGGGACCTCTGGGGCGTTTTTCGGAAACCTCTGGGGCCGTCTTGGACGCTGGGAAGGCGAATCGGGCGAACATGCGAACATAAAATACTGCCTAAAGGAATTGTGCGATTTTTGGCCCTTGGGGCTCCCTCAGGGGGCGTTCTGGAGGCCTCTTGGGGCGCCTTGACGCTTCTTGGACTGTCTTGGGGTCTCTTGGGGGTCTCCGGAAACCTCTGAGGGGCCTCTTGGGGACTTCCTTGAGCTTCCTGGGGGCCTCTCCAGCGCAAGCGCGGCAAAATCCATTCGGAGCCTTCGTCCGAGACCCCCGCTGGGAGCGGTCTTGGTGGCCTCTTGGGGGTTTGGGCGCTTCTTGGGACGTCTTGGAACTCTCTTGGGGACCTCTGGGGCCGTCTTGGACGCTGTGAAGGCGAATCAGGGGAATATTCACAGAATTCTTCGTTTTCCGAAGGGGATGGGACGATTTTTGCTCCTCGGGGCTCCCTCTTTCGGCATCTTGCGGGCCTATTGGGGCCTCTTGGGGGCTTCTTGGGGGCCTCTTGCGGGCCTCGGGGGTCCTCTTGGGGCGGGGGGCTCGAAATGTCAGTTGGATTTCCCCATCTTGGGTTCCTCTCTTTTTTTTGTTCCAGCCGAAGGCTGCGAATATCGCGTGTCTGTACGCGCTGAGCGATCCGCGACAATTTGTACAGAAGCTCACCAAAAAAACCATGGTCGAGCTCGAAAACTTGATGAAGTTCGGCCAGACTGCGTCAAAATTGCACGCAGCGCGAAATCGTCACTGTCGAACTACTGCGTTGAGCGGCAAATGCCGACAAAACCATGCAACACGGTCAACTGTGTCATACGGAACTGGGCTGCCCCCACTTAAGCGGGCAACCCTCTAATGTCACTTGCGCGTGCGACCCTACTGGGTGTATTTAAAACTGTAAACTACCCATAAGCAAATTAAATACGCTGGGCCAGAAGTAATACGACCTCTTGGTCGAAGAATGTGTACATGAATGAGGATGCTTCACTTACTGTAAGTCAGCAAAACCTCACGCAGACATGAGTTCAAACCTTAGCAATTCTTCGATTGAAGGCTTCGAACTGGGTAAAGATCCCGAATGTAGTTCCACCTGCAGCTCTGCCGTCAGCTCGATCACGAGACTTTCGTCTTCGTCGCGAGCACGAGGGAGTTCACTGGATCGTTCGAGGTGGAAACCACATCGACGAACCCCAGCTTCTGCAACTCCTCACCAACATTAAGAGCATAATACTCGCCGTCTTTGCACCACGGCTCCGTCACTTGGAAGGCCCAGCGGCGGAATGGTGGCAGCTCCAGCAGCCTCATCGGGTCGACATCCAACACCGCAATCACCCCACCTGGCGCGAGCACCCGGTATGCTTCCCTGAGAGCCTCGATGCTGACCTCGCGAGGTAGCTCGTGTAAGAGGAAGTTGAACGTCACCATGTCAAACAGTCCACTCTCAAACCCTGTGGCCTCCGCGAGGCCGTGGGTAAACTCCAGATCTGGGTACGTGCTCTTTGCCGTGGCCAGATAGTAAGGGCTCAGGTCGAGCCCCGTGGCCCGAACGCCCGGAAACGTGTCCGCCATCTGCCGCGTCGAGAAGCCGCCGCTGCAGCCTACGTCGAGGAGCCTCGTGGGCGGCGGTGCCGAAACTGCTTCCGCCACGCCCTGTGCCTGGCGCCACCTGTCCGCGATTGCCACGCGAGCGGAGCCGCGGAACCTCTCCTGTGCCTCCTCCCACGTCGTCTCGGCCTGGTAATAGCCGAGGCACATCGATTGCGTGGCGGCCTCCAGCTCGTGCGCGGCCTTCCAGCTGAGGTTGCCGTCGTCGTAGCCGTGGAAAGGCTGGGTGTAGTAGGCCGGGTACTGCAGCTCGGGATCGCGCACCTGCTCGAACAGGCGGTCCAGCTCCGCCTGGCGACTGCTCTTCAGCTGCACGCTCTCAGTCCACTGGATACCGCGATCCTCCGCTCGCTTGATGAACCAGCTGCGCGCTGCGTCCTTCGCGATTGAGGAGAGGAACTCCCAGGGCTTAACGTCGAGCTTCAGGCCAACATCTTGTGCCATCTGCACCACCTTCCCAGGATTCGCCTCGGACCGGTCCGTGGCGTTCGCCATGGCATGCGCCTCCATCTCCGCGCGGGGTGCCAGTCGCATGCGCGTTCGCCGCGTGCGCGGCCGCGCGATGCTGGCGGCGGCGCACGCCGCCGCACCGAGCAGCACCGCGGGCGCGGCCGGCGGCTTCTCGCGGTGGGCGCCCCGCGCGGAGGCCTGCGCGGGGGGCGGCCCTGCGCGCTGCGACCGCGCCAGTGTTAAAACCCGCGTTCCTCACTATTTCCCTGGGACACCCCTGAAATCATCCTCCGCCGCCTCCGCCCACCCCGCCGCGCCCGCCCGCCCCTCCACCGCCCCTTCCCCTTCTTTTTCGGCCCCCCCGCCCGCCGCGCCCGCCCCCCCCGCGCCGGGGGAGGAGAGGCGAGGAGCGAGGAGGGGAAGAGGAGAGGAGAGGGGAGAGGGGGAGGGGAGGGGAGGGGGAGAGGAGGGGAGGGGGAGAGGAGGGGAGGGGGAGGACCCTCCGCGCTCGCGCTCGCCCCGCGCCGTGCCGCTGGCCCGAGCGGCGGCGGAGGAGAGGGAGAGGAGAGGAGAGGAGAGGGAGTGGAGAGGAGAGGAGAGGGGAAGCGGAGGAGGAGGAGGAGGAGGAGGAGGAGGAGGAGGAGGAGGAGGAGGAGGAGGACGGGCAGGACGGGAGCAGGCGGAGGAGGAGAAGGAGGAAGAGAGGAGAGGAGGGGAGAGGGGAAGAGGAGGAGGAGGACGAGGAGGGAGGAGGAGGAGGAGGAGGAGGAGGAGGAGGAGGGGAGGAGGAGGAGGAGGAGGAGGAGGAGGAGGAGGAGGAGGAGGAGGAGGAGGAGGAGGAGGGAGGAGGAGGAGGAGGAGGAAACCAGGAGATGAGGAGCGAGAGAATTGGAGAGGAGAGGAGAGGAGAGGAGAGGAGGGCGCGGAAGGGGGGGGCTAAGGAGGGGAGGGGAGGAGACGAGAAGAGAGGACATGGGAGGGGAGGACGGGGGAGGAGAGGAGAGGAGATGAGGAGAGGAGAGGAGGGGAAGGAGAGGAGGGGGGAGGAGGGAATAACGACGAGAGAGGAGGAGGAGAGGAGAGGGGAGAGAGGAGAGGGGAGAAAGGAGAAGGGGAGGAAGGAGAAGGGAGGAGAGAGAGGAGAGGAGAGGAGCGAGAGAGGAGGAGAGAGAGGAGAGGAGAGGAGAAGGGGAGAGGGGGGGGAAGAGGAGGGGGGAACCCCCGCGCTCGCCCCACCCGCGCCGCTGGCTCGAGCAGTCACTGGGCCGCGCGGGGGTGGCGCCCCCCTGCCCGCCCACGGCGTCCTCGGCGGCGACCCGAGGCGCCGCCCCCGCGCGGGGGGTCGAGGAAATGAGGGAGGAGGGGGCGGCGGCGGGAACAGGGGGATCGGCCTGCGGCCTGTCATGGATGGTCATTGGCACTTAGCAGTGCTAAGTGCAAATGACCATCCATGACAATTCGATCCAGCTCGGACAATGTATACAGTCGGACCGAGGTATAAGATCGAGTGCGGTTCGGGGAGGGTGCCCTTGTGTTCTTCGCGCTTGTTGGATGCTCCTGTGTATCCTGGGGAGGGTACCCTTGGGTGTTCTGTTTGTTTTGGCCGACGGAGGGTCTCATGTTCTTGAGGGGTGTTCTTCTGTCCTAGGTCCGACTGTAGGAGCAATGTAGCTACTGCAATCATGGCGGCACTCACCCGTAAAAAACTATCCCGTGACACTTGGTCACGAGATAGTTGTTTAACGGGTGATCGGCCTCTCCACTCCACTCCACTCTCCTCCGTCCACTCCACTCTCCTCCGTCCGCAGCCGTTTGCCCATCAGGGCATCAAGGCCGCCGCCACCGAGGGTGGCTGCCGAGGAGTTTCCTCAGCCTCGTACGCGTCCCCGCCCCCCCCACCCCCCCCCCCCCCCACCCCCCCCCCCCCCCCCCCCCCCACCCCCCCCCCCCCCCCCCCCCCCCCCCCCCCCCCCCCCCCCCCCCCCCCCCCCCCCCCCCCCCCCATCCCCAAATTCACCGCCCGCCAAACCACCCCTGGGGGCTCGCCGATCTCAGGGGTGGGGATGCGTTCGGGGCTGGCATGTTCATCCCCATCCTTTCCTGTCTTGTGCGGCGAAGCCAACCTTGATGGGCAGATTCCCTACCACCACTACCATAGGTAGGAGAGGGAGGAGGAGGATGAGGAGGATGATGAGGAGGATGATGAGGAGGAGTCAGCAGGAGGAGGAGGAGGAGGAGGAGGAGGAGGAGGACCTCTCCATCCTCCGTTCTCCCCAGTCGTACCTATGGTAGTGGCATTGGAATGTTTGCCCATCAAACCGCATGACGCCCCTGTGCAAAGTCACGGTCGAGGACGAGCTGAAGAGCCACAAAAAAAGCAGTCAAGACCCTCAAGAAGGGTCTGGAGCACAGCCAGAAGTCACTGGACCTCTACGTCGAGATCGTGGCGACCCAGAAGGCCACCATCGCAGAGCTGCGCAAAGAGCTCCGCGCCAAGAATCGGCGCCCACAGCGACGAAACAACTAGTCGCCCTTGTCGTCGCGTAAGTTGCCCGCGCAAGGTCGCGCGCTTGCGCTTTGGTTCTCAACGTGGCGCGCCGCGCGGGCTGCGGGTGGCCAGCGTGAGCCGCAGCGTAAGGTCAGTATCGATTGGTCACTTTTCCACCAACATTACCATAAGTAGGGCGGGGGAGACGGGGGGATGGGGAGGTCTTCCTCATCATCCCCCCCCTCCTCCTCAACCTCCTCCTTCCCCCCTCTCCTACCTATGGTGGTGGTGGTGGCAAATCGGCCAGCCGCACGATCAGTTGTTTTGCGTCGCCCAGGGCGCTGGGTGCCGTGGCCAAGACCGCGGACAACATGGCCGCACGCCTCCGCAAGCAGCAGAGGAAGTGAGTGCAGCGAGCAGTGCAGCTGCAGCAGCGGCAGGCCGACAACCGCTTGGCAACTGCAGCCGAGGCTGATTAGCAGGTCGACCCCGCCAAGTCAAGGGTACCCATGTGTCTTGTGCCTCGCGGCCAGTGCTTCCACATTCATATGGCAATGTGGCCCTCGGAAGAGTCTTGCTTCCTCTCGCGCGTCCTCTTCAATCCACCTCGACTGTAATTCAGATCGGTTGGACGCCCGCCTCTGCCGCAGCAGGGCCAGTCAGCAAGTGAGGGCCGCAGCAGGCCAACTTCCCCCCTTCACCTCCGCCCTCTGCGCTATGCACTGCCCGAATCGTTCGTTCACTCCACCATCCCTCTACCCCCTCCCTCCCCGCCCTCACGTTCCGGCACGGCCCCTGGCCATTGGGCCGCTGGCCACCATTCGGGGGCCCCCAAACGGTGTGGTGACCTCACCGTGCGGTGAGTCGGTGAGGATTCGGGGTCACCGCACGGTTTTGGGACTCGAGTCCCTCTCAGAGGATGTCTCGGGCGACAGGGGCCTCCAGGGTACCAAGACCGTGCGGTGACGGACCGTGCAGCGAGGTCTCTTGGGGTTCTGAGTCACGGTCACCGCGCGGTATGTCACCGCACCGTTTCGGGACTCCAAAACCATTTTGAAGGACGCAATCCTGCGCAGCTCGGCTCGCGGCTGCCATCAGCCCTGCCAGCGCAGCCAGCGCCAGCGTACTCGAGCCTCGACGGTCGACGCGCGTGCCCGCGGCCAGAACTCGTCGTCGTGGATTCTTTCGTTCGCACAATTGGGCTAGTCCTAGGGCGACGAGGTCGATGCATGTCCACTGCTCCTGGCAGGATGGGCCCAGGATGGGCCTAGCCAGGAGCAGTGGATACACATATATATATATATATAGAAAGAGACACACAGAGAGAGAGAGAGAGAGAGAGAGAGAGAGATCTCGTCGCCCTATGCATGTCTGGCCACTGCTGGCCGAAACCTTGATTCATGGCCGAATCCTGCTCGGCCCCATGATCCAGGGCTTCGACTCGAAGCCCTGAATCATGGGGCCGAGCCCAGGCCCTGGGGGCCATTGGGCTGTCCGTAACAGCGCGCCCTGTCATCGATGTTGGCCTGGACAACATCGGTGAAGCGGCGTACTGTTACGAGTGGCTTGGGGTGCGCAGGCAGGCGGCTGAAATGTGGGACGCCCGATGCGGACCGAGGCCCCCCTTTGGCCCTCGTGAATCAGCAGCGCCTTGGTGCGCGAGAACGGCTTGAGGAACAACAGCGGAATTTCCGAAGGAAGATCGGGCCCCTTTCCCCGTTCCGAACCCAAAACGTTCCCCATTTCAGCGTCCTGGTTGTCAAGAAGTGGTCGCGCGATGGCTGGAGTCTGACGTCCGCAGCCTTGCCCCAATCCCAGGCCCGTTCCGAGCTCCGACGGCCACGGGCGTCCGCCCTGCTTGCCATGGGCTCGGACCGCAGCAGATCACCGCGGCGACCCGCCGCCGACGCGGACGAGGCTGTTGGTTGCCAGTTTTTGGGTGGGAGTGCAGGTGTAGAAGGGTGGACGGGTGATAGGGGGAGCGGGGGGTGGCGCGGAGTAGAGGCGGGCGCTCGACGTCCATAGCTTGCCCCCGCCACCCCACGCCGCCCACATCCCTGTCCCCCCTCTGCACCGAGGGCTCTGCCGCCAGCTCGCTCTCGCTTGCGAGCACGTGGCACAGCGTCTGTGGCATCGAGGCCGATGCTGGGGGATGTGTAACTGGCTGGGTACCCCAACGGGCGGAGGGGTCGCGAGGACGCGCCGCTGTCCGCGGCCTGGGCCAGATGATGGCGCCCCGCCCAGGGCGGCGGCGTGATGGCGCGAAGCGAGTCGCATTGGGGTGGGGCGGGGGGGGGCGGAGGGCGGGGGATGGGAGGACGTCGGAGGCGGAGGCTGAAGGCGGAGGAGGCATCGGGGGAGGGGGGAGGGAATGACGTGCATTCGGGCATGGCCTGAGGGCGCGTCCTCCTTCACGGACGCCTCGCCCGAGTCGGAGGCAGCGCCCGACGACGAGCCCGACGCGAAGTCCGACGGCTCCGCCCAGTCCGACGAGCCCCCCATTGAGTCCGACAGCATCGCCGACGCGAAGTCCGACGCAGCGCCCGACGGTTCCGACAGCATTGTTTCCGCGACTGAGTCGGCTGAACCCGAGCCCGACAGCCAGCCCGACAGCCAGCTCGACAGCATGGGCTCAGACAGAGTGTTCGAGGCGATCCCCGACGGCGAGCCCGAGCCCCTTCGCGATTTCGAGCACATCGATTTGAACAGGCCGCAACCATCAGGGCTGCGCGCCGCGCTCGCCGACCGCGTGCAGCCAGACTTCGGCGTCGTGGTGCTGCCAACCACCAGCAGCTCGGACAGTTCACTGCCCGACTGCGTCGAGAGCCCGCCCAGCGTGCTGGTGAGTTCTCTTTCAGACCCTTGCATGGACATCGCCGCTGCCCCGCAATAGGCTGCAGCCATCCAGCTAAGGCTTGCTATAGTAGCCGTTGCCGCTCAGCCCTCCACCCGCTCGTTCCATGCAGTCGCCGCGCCTGCTGCACACCGTTCAGCCTCCCCCATCAGCATGTTCGATCAGTTGCGCTGCGCTTAGCCGTGGTATCGCTCGGACGTGTGCATTTTCTTCTCGACGGGGGTTCTTAAGGAGCATCCTGGATCACCCTGCGTAAAAAGATACGCACGAAACCGAACCGAACACAGGGAATGCACGCCCGAGCGATTGCCAGTAGCTCCAGTTCGCACTGTATCGCGGTGTAGTAGTTCGGCTCATTGGCCGTTGCGCGAGCCAGACTTGTGACCGACCGCCCGTTCGCCAGTGCTTTCTTGAGGGGGTTATTGCCGTTGTCTTGATCCTCGGGTGCCTCACGTCGCGCGCGCGAAGCCAGGGGCACCCCTAGAGGCCGTCGACATGCACCCACCAGGGCCGCAAGGGAAAGCCCATCCCAGCCCCTCTGATTCGACTCGATCGGAGTTCAACGAGTCCGATTCCGATCCGATGCGACTTCGGGGCCGACGTCGGTTCAGAATTCTCAACGGGGCTTCATTTAGCATACACATTTCCGCTGATTCGACGGCTCCGATGTGGCTACCGATCCGTGCCGACCATCTTGATAATCGATCGCCGACCCGACTCGATCCAATTCTGGGCTCCCCTGTGCCTCTGCACATGCGACATCTCGGGCGCCTCACGCAGAGTCCAATGGGACATCCCTGGCAATGTCGATGCCCCCGAGGCTCCAATGAGGCCAGCTGCAGGCCACGCGCTCCCCCGCCCGTCGCCCCCACCCTCTACTCTCCCCCATCCCATCGCCAGTGAGCATGTGAACACGCGCCTGGGAAGCGTTTGATGCGATTGTTTGCCTAGCAGCAGTGGTCTTACACCGTGGCCCTCTACGCCCCCATCCCCCGCGGTGTGTTGGGGTTGCAGCCGCATCGCGCGCCATCCCGCGTGCTGGCTTTCGTTAGTGACCCTTTTCAGATTTCCCCGCCCTC